GAGTCGAATTTAAATGAATTAGATTAACTTATTTTATCACTTATAACCACCAACAAACATAAAAGTTAAAACCGTAATTTTTTTTTCTGAAACACAATTTAAGACTTCTTAAATAGTATTGTATTTTTATTTGATAACGACTTCATCAAACGCATGTAATAGAAATATAAATTATTGTTATGCAATGGAGATGACCAATGGTTGGTTATACAAAATCAATGAGTCAAAAACAAAATTGGTATATGATTACAATAATGTTAAAAAATATTAGTGATGTTTTATGTAAAGAGATTAACAATAATACAATATGAGCTGAAGTTATATAAAAATTTAATATTATTTTCAATTAAAATAAATTTAAACTTTTTGTTAATTTTTATATTATTTTATAAAGTCTTCCAAATACAACTAATTTGATATATTAATTTTTTAATATATTTAAAATATTAAAAATTGTATATATTAGTAATCAAAACGCATCCAAAACCTTAAAACAGATCTTGTTCAACATTTTTTTATTATAAAAAAATTTAGACTCATGTTTCGATTCCTAAGCATATAAAAAAGTGAGGTTGAAATTGAAAAAATATATATTCATAACTTGTTTATTCTTTGTTAAGAAATATCTAGAATGGATAAAAATTCAAATATGATATACTTTTTCTTTGTAACTGTAAGAATTAGAATAATAATAAAAATATAAAAAGAAAATAACTTAGGTGAAACTTGAAGATGTGATGAAAATATAATAAAATTTGGAGGGTTGACAAGTTAAAAATGGTGGAGGAAGTTGAATTTAGTAATGGAAAATAAAAATAATAAACGATTGAAAAATTTAAAAGTGAGTTAATGTCTTCTAGATATGTGGGCTCACTATAAAATAAGGTAAAAACAATTGATTTTTTGACTGAACTTAATTTAAGTAAAATTCTTTACAATTTTACTTGACCCATTACATAATATTAAATTAGTATATTTTTGTTTCTTAACTTAGTAATTAAAGTGAGTTTGCTCAACTTAATTATTTATTGCAGTTGAAAAGTGTAATTAAGTTAAAGAGAAATATTCAAAATTTATTATAAAAAGGATCCGTGAAATTTAGTTTGATTCAAACTCATTTAATCAAGTATACCAAATTCATTTTAATTCATTAATTTTTTTTTTCAATTAAACCCAACTTAAACCTATTTTCACGAATTTAAACTCATTTTTCACACCTAATTTCTTGTTATAAGACAAATAGCTATTTTCCAGTTACATTGAAACAAATCTCTTAAATTATAAATCTGATAAGTTGTTTTCAATTTATACTATTGCAATAAAAATATCTAAAATTCATATTAATTTAATAAAAAAACCCAAATACAATAGTAGAAAGATCACAAATTTACAACAAAATAACTCTAGAGTATTCCTTTAGAGTTACATCATCTTAACCCAATAAAATATAGAAAAAATGAAGGGTAAAACAAACTCAAGACAAAAATGAATGTCAGCTGTTTAATATTTCATTACAATTTTTTAAATTATTTTGATGTCAAATTTCTTATTTAGTTTACATCACACTCTTAACTTGTTGAAGCAAATACACTTTTTGATATTTTGATACGACCTGTCAAAATTTTGCATAAAAATGTAAACATTCATTACATTTTCTCAATCATGACAACAGTATGCATACTAAATATACCTAAACATCTACATCATTTAATCTAATATCACTAATCTCTTGTCTAAATAACATCATAGTAAACATTACTATAAACTTTAACATTTCAACTACCAGTCCAAAAAATTTCTACAGACAAAATGTGAAAATGATGATAAATCCAATTAAATATCGCCTGACATGTTGCATTGCTGTAAGAATGTTTGCACTGCTCATAAGTGCTAAAGGAAAGCGACAACTTCCTTTAGATGGGTCATTTTGTACAATCTCTGCTAATCCATTGAAATCACATGCCTCAACACTTTGATCGTTTATTTGAAAGTACTGATTGAAAGCATATGAAACATTACCAGCTAAAGTCAAATCTGCACAAGAACGAGAAGAACCCAAGCTCGAGCAATCACCCATCGAACAAGCATAAGCTAATGCATCTTGCACAGCCTGCTTATCAGCTTTTGTTCCCTGTTTAAGGACACACCATTTTTGCTCTTGGTAACTAACCCCTTTTGCTGCTATAGGCATTTTATCTTGTCCTTTGCCAGAAAAATCAATAGAAAACTTTGGCTTCCCATCGTATGTAAAAATGCCCCAGTGGCGTTCAAAGTCACCTGGTGCAATGCTTTTCTGGTTCTCATCAGTAAGAGAAAACAGATAAGTAATCATAGATTTTGGATGAAGTGGTGACCCTTTTTTGTTTGCCATTTTCTTAAGAAACCCTCGGTAGAACCTTTTTGCATTTTCTCCATTGGCATTTTTATCACCATCTGTTGGCCATCCAACTTCACCTATAACGATTGACACGTTAGGGTGACCAGTTTTCTTCAGCGACCAAACAAGAGTATCTAAGTTTGCATCAAACATGTTGCTGTAATGCACATTTTTGTCATCAGTTCCCTTAGCATTACCATCGAAGAATGCATAATCCTTTGGAAAATCCTCATTCTGATATAGACTAAGGAATGGATATATGTTAACAAGAAAGGGTGACTTGTTTTCATCAAGAAATGACACTATTTGTTCCATAGTATCGTAAATGTCTTTGCGAAATTTTCCATCAGATGGTTTATCTGTAGCAGACTCATAAACATCAGCATTTAAAGCTGATGTTACCTTGATTTTGTCTCCAAGACCAGCCTTATTAATTGCCTTTTGAACATTCTTCATAGCTGGAAGTGTAATCCCCACATACGAACCATTGTAACTTTTCAAGAATGGCTCATTTCCTACAGATATATATCTGCATCAAACACATTCCCTTAAAGTTGTGATGTGTTGTTCTTGGTAATTAAAATGCTTGATATATCATTATGTTTTAGTCTATGCACTTAGAAATAACATGTTTCTGTGAGTAATCTGATGGAAGTGTAAAGATTGAGATGATTAACGAAACATGATTAATTAACTGAGGAAAATAAAGAATGAGAGTTTTTGTGTGAAGGAGTTATATAATATAAGCACACACCTGATGTCAACCCCTCCCTTAATTTGTTTGCTAACATTATGTTTAACCCAATCTTCTGCATTATCTTTATCTTTAGACAGTTTCTTCAACATTTCATTAGGAATTCCAACCATGACTTCGATGTTTGAGCCAGAAAAAGCACTAACAGTCCAAGGATCTGCATCAAAAAGCTTTATTCTACTAATTCCATTTTCTTTCAACAAATTCACCACAACAGGAGGATACAAAGGTTGAGAAGCCATTGCACCCCAATTGACACCAATATCTGATAGAGCTTCTCCTTGACCAGCTTGAAAGTGGGAGAGAGCCATAACCAAAACCATACAAAACGCCCACATAAATGATGAGTTCATACTAGTCAATAAAGGTTCATTAGCAGGCAAAAACATGTCCTGGGATTGAATAATTAACTACATCTGAGAAAAAAGTGACTGTTTTGTGTGTTTTATTAGCTATTATGTCTAAATAAAGCATTCTGAAAGTACTGGCTCTTAAGTTACTTCTTTAACTAACTTTCTATTTGTAGATGCCATAGTGATCTACCATAAGTTTATGAATTTTTTTTCTGTAGATAAAATAGAACAAATAAAATTGAGTTATCTGTTCACTGAACCAAATACAATAATCAATGTGCTGTCTACAATTTGCTTTACACTGTATACAAAATTCTTATATTGGTCATCATTCTTACCATGGTTACCACATTGACATTATTGCTGAACAAGTTCAGAGGGAGATGATATTATAAAAGTTTGGTTTTTTACTAAAAAATCCAACTGCATTGCCAATATTAAATATTTTAGACTTAGAAATACCAAAATTATGGATTCAACAAAACAAAATAGAGGACAAAAGTTATATTTAAGCCAAATTTTAAAATATGATGTTAATTTTTAAGTATGTACTAGTAATCTTTACAGTGTGAATTAATTATAATTTTATCTCAAATACTTTAAAAAAGCTTAAATATGACTATACTTTCTCTAATATACCTATTTTATTGTTTTTCTTGCTAAACTTTTTTGGCTATTATTAGTTTAATCACTTGCCTTTGAGCGATTATATGATAAATAAAACATTACACTCACCTCTTGCCGTGTTATATGTTACAGTAATAAAAATAGTAAAATTTACTTTATATGGACTAAACACACACACACACACACACACATATATATATATATATATATATATATATATATATATATATATATATTTAAGGACCAAAATAATAAAATTACTGTATTATAATAAACAATCAAATATTTTAAGAAACAATATTTGTTATCTTCATGATTTTTTAAAATATTATATCATTTATGCATACATATTTTTTATTTAAATCAATTAGGTAATTGATTCATTAATTTGATTGGCTGATCTAATTTTCAAAATAAAAGTTTTATTTTTATTAATATGTTGAAAACTAAAAATAAAATCTCAAATTATAGAGAAAATAGAAAAGAAACATTGTATTGTTAAAAGATATATGTAAACATTAATATAAAATAATATCTTTATAAATGTATTTACAGATATATTTTTTAGAAATATGTAAATTATAATATAGATAATAACATATTGCCTTTTATAAGTTTTTTATGTATTTTTCATTTTTTCATTCTTATATATTACTCAATCTCATTCATTTATAAAATATATTCATTATAATAAATGGTTGTTATTCTGACAAAAAGTTACAACTTTTTTATTCTATAATTATAATATTAAAAATTCAATTAATACAATTTTTTTATAACCATAATATTAATATTATTTATTTTAATAATTAATATTTGAATATTATTGTAAAAAAAAGTGTTGATATAACATCAGTTATAAATTCTCTTACTACATAGAATAGTTTGAGGGGGTATATGCTTAAGCCCTCCGTAAACCCTAGTATATATAACTTGTAGTTTTTTTTTTTCTCTTTCTTCCTTCTCTTTCTTTTGGTTTATTCAAATTCAAAATCCTCAGTTTGCAGCCGTCCTTCTACTCCAGGTTCCACTTTCCCCCAATTTTTGTTCATTAATTCATTCGTCAACATTTCCTTCTCTTTTTCAGTCGAGGCCTTTAGTGTGTTTTATTTGTATTGACACTGTTGCGATTTAGCACTTACGAATTTCAATTACGAAAGAAGGAATTTGAAGTTCAGGAAAATCTTTAGTTTAACCAATTATTTATTATTGGTCATTTTTGTTGTGTACGTTGCGAAGAAGTGGTTACTTGTGAGCACTTAAATTTCGTAGCAAGGAAATGAGGAAGAAAGTGGACGAGCGAATCAGAACTCTAATTGAAAATGGCGTTAGAACAAGGCATAGGTCCATGTTCGTCATCATTGGTGACAAGTCTCGTGACCAGGTCTTTTTGTTGTAGCCTTATAGTGATATGCTTCCTAGGATTGGAACCCTTTGGAAACTGTATTTGAATGCTAACTGCAGTGACTCTTCTGCGTGCAGATTGTTAATCTTCATTACATGCTTAGCAAGGCGCAGATTAAGTCCAGGCCAACCGTATTGTGGTGCTACAAGGACAAACTAGAACTGAGCAGGTTCTGGATACAATCAATAAAACTGTCTTCTGTGAATAAACTTTGATATGCTGTTGTCTTGGTTGGTTAGAGTTGCTTCTGAATGAGGTTTGTTTGAGCTTGATTAAGATGATTGATCATAAATGTCCTAATGCAGTCACAAGAAAAAGCGCAGCAAGCAGATTAAAAAGTTGATGCAGAGGGGTCTTTATGATCCAGATAAAGGTGATTCATTTGAATTGTTTGTGGCAAGTGGGGGATTAACATATTGTTTATATAAGGAGTCGGAAAGAATTCTTGGTAACACCTTTGGAATGTGTGTACTTCAGGTATCATATATTTCCTTGTAGCTCATTTTCTTTTGCTTTTTTTCTTTCTGAGCTGTCTTTTTCTTTCCTTTCTCTACAATGATTTTTTTTTTTTTGCATCATCTTTCTCTTTAGGATTTTGAGGCATTGACACCTAATCTTCTAGCAAGAACAATGGAGACAGTGCAGGGAGGCGGGTTGGTTGTTCTGCTGCTACGCTCTCTATCCTCGCTGACAAGTCTGTACACCATGGTCATGGTATGAAAGTAGATTCATAAGAATTGATATTCTAGTTTTTCCTTTTAAATTTCCAATTCATTTGGTTAAGTATATGTGTTCTTTCAAGATATAGTTGTACTCCCTTCTTTTGCTGATATTCCTGTCCAGGGCTTTAGATCTGGGATATTCATTTTTGTTTGTTCTTGTCTGCATTTTCATTTATTGGAGTTCATATGCTTTCATGAATCATTACACTCTCTTCATGCCTATCCTTTTACTAAAAGAAGGATATCGGTCATTATTTGATGCTATTCTTATATCTGATTAGTAATAATTTTCTTGATATATCTGCAACCTTCTCAATTGGCAAGGAAGTATTTTTTGACGGCAACAAACCAAAATACATCAATCAATTATAGGTCGTGGGTTGGTGCACTTGTTAACAAAAAGTAATATATTTACAACTAATATTTTCTGATAAAAAAAGATAGCATAATCCTATATGTTTGATTGGGGCTTTACTAAAATAAATATAGTGTATGTTAAGGAGGCAAGGCTGGTACTTACCATGCTGCTTTTCTGTTAGAAGTCTCATTAAATTCAGCTTTCTTGTGGATCACTGCTTGCAGGATGTCCATGATAGATTTCGAACTGAATCCCACTCTGAGGCTGCTGGGCGCTTTAATGAACGGTTCTTATTGTCTCTAGCATCTTGCAAGGCATGCGTAGTCATGGATGATGAACTAAATGTTTTACCAATTTCATCTCACATAAGGTCTATTTCCCCGGTTCCCGCTAAAGAGGTACTTCTATTATTATGTATTAAACAAAATATTTCCTTGCACTTTTTTTTTCATTGGGGTTTGTGGATTGTTTGGGTTTTGATGTGTTGGAGATCCCATATTTCTACTCCAAGTTAGATCCTCTAACACACCCCTCATGCCAAGGACTAGATGAGCATGAGACTAGATATTTGTGGGTGGTCCAATAGAGCCCTGATATTGGGTAACATAGTTGGTTTCAACAAACCTCATCAAGATAGGTCCTTGATAAACTCAGATACTATTTTAAAAAGTGAACTTTTAAGTGTAACTTAACCTTATAAAACCAACATGTAGAGTAAGGTTTGCATATACTTGTATACTCTAATTTGCATATACTTATATACTCTAATATGACCATATCTCCTGTTAATGTGGGGTATCCAATATATTGCATGAAGGACTTTCTTTTAATGTTAGCATAAGTGCAAAACAAATAATTATTTTCTTTAAATATTCTCACATGTTTTAATTCTTAGTTTAAACTTGCAATGCTTCTTGATCGATTTTTTGTGTGAAGATTATGGTGCAAACAGGTCCTTCTCTTCCTCAAGAATCTGTCTGATAGAGTTCATATAAGTTTTGCTTTTTAATATATGATAGAGACTTAGTGATAGTTTTGAAGCATTTGATAACTGTGAATATTGAAGATATTTGTACTTGTAAACGTGGTGGAGAGTGATAGTACATGGAGGAAGATGGAACATGGAAGAGACTAGGGAGAGCGATTATATAATAGGGTGATCTGTATAGCACAGCCTCCCTATGTGTGTGTACATATGTGTGTGTGTGTGATATATAAATACTAATATACTACTAGTTATAGGATAAGGATACAGTGCAATACTGTATAAAGTACATCTAGGCCGCACATACTTTCAACAATACTAATTAATTTTTATTATTGATCTTCCTTCGGGATGCAGTATTCCTCATTTGTAATGATGGTTTGTAGTTTTGCATTTAGTAAATTTTGGTTCGTGTTATTTTTAAAACATTATCGTCATAATTTCCGGAGTGCATCAGTTGTTATTGACAACCTTTTGCATATCAAATATCATGAAAATTATTTATAGTAAATTTTGCACTGGAATGCTATAACATTCTTACTTGTTGAAAATACTATTCTAATAAATTTTGGAGTTATTATTTTGTATTATGTAGTGTAGTTTTGCATACTTTTTTACATTTTCCAAACTTTTGTCTTGTTGTCTTGATATCTGAAATATCCTATATTTTTCTAATTGTAGTGTATGAACGCAATTTTTTAAGTAATATTACCAAAGCTATTTAAACTATATTGTAGGATTTTTATTCTTCTATATTTCTTGGCATCCAAGCTTGATGGTTGTTTCTTTAAATTTTGATGGGTTTCAATAGCTAATATGTAAGTCTCTGAATTGGTGCTGTAGGACTCTGAAGAACTCTCAGAAGCAGAACTGGAGCTGAAAAACCTTAAAGAACAACTAAATGAAGATTTCCCTGTTGGTCCATTGATTAGGAAGTGTTGCACGATGGACCAGGTCGAATGTTTTACCTTAACTCATTTTCTTCTTACCAAAGAAATTAGTTTTTGGGTGGTGGATGTCAGCAAGTTTATATATGATTTTTGTATATAGGGAAAGGCTGTTGTGACATTTCTGGATGCAATTTTAGACAAGACACTACGTAGTACTGTTGCTTTATTGGCTGCTCGTGGCCGTGGGAAATCAGCTGCTCTTGGTTTATCAATTGCTGGAGCTGTAGCTGTGGGGTACTGTTCCATCAGACATAGATATATTTATTTGGATAGTTACAACAAATTTTTGAGTAACTTACAAGAAAATTATCTGTAGGTATTCAAATATCTTTGTGACTGCGCCTAGCCCTGAAAATTTGAAAACCTTGTTTGATTTTGTATGCAAAGGTTTTGATGCTCTTGACTACAAGGTACTGGTTTTCTCCCTTGTTGATGGCTACAACTATTATTGGTTAATTAGTATGACTTTTAGTTGCAAAAGTTCTAAAGATGGCAACTTGGTTATTAAGTAAGCATAAGTTCCAAAGATGGCAACTGGGCTGTTAGTTTTGGTAATTAAGTGATCACTAGCATTTATTTATTTTTATTTCTGTGGTTCATTTCCCATCTAAATCATTACCTATAGTGCATATTTGGATTGATTTATCTGAACAAAATTGATTTTAAAAAATGGTCACCCAGTACACGAGCTTAAAAAGTGAAGTACACTAAAGTTGCCTTACTAAACATACCAGCTTTTATTCTTAAATAATGTTTTTTAATCAGAATTTAATCTTTTCCAAAATATACTCTAAGAGGGCTACTGTTTCCACTGACAATAGGAACATATAGATTTTGATGTGGTGAAAAGTGTGAATCCCGAGTTCAAGAAAGCTACTGTAAGGATCAATATTTATAAGCACCACAGACAGACAATTCAGGTCAGGTCGTTGATCCCTCTGTATTAATACTGTTAATGGAACTTTCTGTTGCCGTGTAGTTACAATCAAATGTAATTCTGGACTTATTTTTCATCTTCATTTTTTTTTTCATTCAGTATATACTGCCAAATGAGCATGAAAAGCTTTCACAAGTTGAGTTGTTGGTTGTTGATGAAGCAGCCGCTATTCCACTTCCAGTGGTGAAGTCTTTGTTGGGCCCTTATCTGGTCTTTCTGTCTTCTACTGTTAATGGGTATGAATAATGTTTGTTTTTGGTGAAATATTCCATCAAATGCAATTTTTTTCTAAACAATTATCAATCCATTCGTTAGTCAATTTTATGTCTCAGTTAATGGACCTTAACTTATAACATGGCTTAATTGCTGACTCTTTTTGGTAATTCATTGGAAGTTATGAAGGTACTGGACGCTCTTTATCGCTCAAACTTTTGCAGCAATTGGAAGAGCGAAGTCACGTGTCTGCTAAGAGCACAAAGGACACTGGTACTTACACCTCAGACTTTTAGAATTCAATTTAAATGTAAATAAATATCGTGCATGTCATTAGTTTTTTTAATGAAAACAATCTAAGTTGATTGTGGAATAGAGATAATTGGTTTTCACTGATTAATATCTTTTTCAAGGTATGTGTGCATTAATGTTGACTTGATGCATCAGGTCGTCTTTTTAAGAAAATAGAATTGAGTGAATCCATCAGATATGCTTCTGGGGATCCCATTGAAAGCTGGCTTAACAATCTACTTTGCTTAGATGTTTCAAATGCCATCCCTAATCTTAGCAGGTTAGATCAAAGCACATTTCATATTTCCCTTGAAAGTGAGACCATTTTTTCAATCTCCATTTATTGTTTTTCTCTTGAAAACAGGTTACCACCACCCAGTGAGTGTGATTTATACTATGTTAATCGGGATACTCTTTTCTCTTACCACAGAGATAGTGAATTATTTTTGCAGGTAAAATCAGATATCTGATTTTGTAGGGTGGCTTGTGGTTGATATTTTCATGTGTTTAAATTCTGTTCTAAAAATATTTTATTATTGCAGCGAATGATGGCTTTATATGTTGCATCTCATTACAAGAATTCTCCCAATGATTTGCAACTAATGGCAGATGCTCCAGCACACCACTTATTTGTACTACTTGGTAAACTTGATTTTCTTTCTATGTATTATTCTTTTGTTCCTCGTCTTAATTAACATGACTTGAATTAGTCTTATAATAGTATTTGTATGACAGGGCCTGTTGATGAATCAAAGAATCAACTTCCTGATATTCTGTGTGTCATTCAGGTTTGCATATTTGATCAACCAATTTTTCTGCTCTATTTTTGCATTGGGCCTGTCTCATTGGCTCTCATGGCTTGGCTTCCCTTCTGTGTTTTGACAGAACCTCTTATTTCCATTTTTCTTTTCACCTGGTCATTATAATGTGTTCTTGATAGGTTTCTGATTTTATTGACCTCCAAGAAAGAATACAAGAATGAAGCAATAAGGGAGCCTAATCTTCCCCCAACAAGACTAAACAGTCTGTTTATACACTGGAATTGCCAAAAAGTTCCTCTCCTCTCCCCATCTCAATAATTTATACAAAAATATATTCCCGCTCTTCCTAACTATTAACACAGTTAGGCAACTAACTCCCTCTAACTGTTAACTAACAGTTGGTTAACACAGTTAGGCAACTAACTCCCTCTAACTGTTAACTAACAGTTGGCTAACCTCTCTTCCTCCTTACATACACTCTCAACTTCCTATCATTACCCTCCCCTCCATTTTCAACCTTGTCCTCAAGGTTGAACTCCGGAAATTGGTCCTTGATTGTTGCTAAATCTTCCCAAGTCGCCCCTTCTACACCCCCGGTCTGCCACTCTACCAGCACATGTTGAAACACCTCATCTCCCTGCTGTATTTGTCTGCGCTTCAGAATCTTGGTTGGCCAAAAAGCAGGTCCCTCTGCCTGCAACTCCTCGGGTAAACCTTTTTCTACTATTTGATCTCCCACCGCTTTTTTTAATTGAGAGGCATGGAACACCGAGTGAATTCGCGCTGCCTTTGGAAGCTCCAGCCTGAAAGCCACATTGCCAACCTACTGTAATACTTCGAATGGCCCAAAATATAGCTGACAACTTTAGGTGTAGTCGCACCGGCATGGAAGACTGTCTGTGGGGCCTTATCTTCAAATATACCCAATTCCCCACCTTTATATCCACTTCTCTTCTCTTTTTATTAGCTTGTTGTGTCATCAAATCCTGGGCACGGCTTAAATGATATTTCAACTGCTTGAGGGCCTCATCTCTCGTCATGAGATCTTGTGCTACAGCTTCAACCTGTGTTTCTCCTGGTATAAACCGACTGAAAGAGGGAGGGGGCCTTCCATATACAGTCTCAAATGGCGTGCATCTTGCTGCCCCTTGGTAGCTTGTGTTGTATCAAAATTATGCCCAGGGTAACATTGAATACTAGCTCTTGGGCTGTTCAGAACAAAAACACCGCAGGTAACCTTCAACTATGCGGTTCACAACCTCCGTTTGCCCATTCGTTTCCAGATGGTAAGATGTACTCATTTTGAGCTGAGTCCCTTGCATTTTAAACAGCTCTCTCCAAAAAATCTCAAGAACAAGGGATCTCTGTCACTTACCACCTAAACTGGGATCCCATGCAACCTGATTACCTCCTTAGCAAATACATCAGCGACTGTTTTTGCAGAATATGGGTGCTTTAATCCCAAAAAATGAGCATATTTAGTCAGCCGGTCAACCACCACCATAATAGCATCATATCCTTGTGACTTAGGTAGTCTCACGATGAAGTCTAGGCTAATTTCCTCCCACACTGCCTGAGGAATTGGTAAAGGCTGTAACAAGCCTTGAGGTGATGCTGTTACGTATTTGTGTTGTTGGCACACTGCACAACTCGCCACAAATTCTGTAATCTCCTTCTTCATACCCACCCAATACAAAGATTGGGCTATCCTTCTATAAGTTTTGTAGACTCCCGAATGCCCCCCAGTCTTTGTCACATGAAATTCCTCAAGTAACTTAGGGATCCAAGTTGCGTTTGCAGATATTACCAGTCGGCCTTTATAATGCAGTCTTTCGTTCTCTAAAGTGTACGCCCCATGCGAGTTGGGATCACTTTTCAGACCAGCAATCACCTTTTGTAGCTCGGAATCCTCCTCTACCTCCTTCAAGATCTCTTGGAAGTCTGGCCAAAATGGCTTAGAGATAGCTTGCAATTCCCTTTCTCCCCGTTCTCCTTCATGCTTCCTCGAAAGAGCGTCGGCAGCCTGGTTCATACTACCCTTCCTATACACAATCTCAAATTCATAACCCATCAACTTCGCTAACCAGTTTTGTTGATTCTGGGTAGTTATTCTCTGCTCCAACAAATATTTCAAGCTACGCTGGTCTGTGTGCACCATGAATTTTCTTCCCACCAAGTACGGTCTCCAGTGTTGGATGGCTAACACCAAAGCCATTAACTCCTTCTCGTAGATCGATTTACTAAAGGTGTTCTCCGACAAGGCCTTAGTGTAGAAGGCAATGGGTCTCCTGTTTTGGGTCAGCACGACACCTACTCCTCCTCCTGAGGCATTACACTCAACATGGAACTCCTGATTGAAATGCCCGGCGTGATAGCTGCCTTTAATTCATCCATAGCTTGCTTCGCCTGTTCATTCCACGTGAATCTTCCCTTTTTGAGTAACTCCTTCAATGATTTTGCTATTTTTCCATAGCCCGTTAAGAACCTCCGATAGTAACTGGTGAGCCCCAGGAACCCTCTCAACGCTTTTAAGTTTCTGGGTTCTTCCCATTCAACCACCGCTCTAATTTTATCACCGTCCATTTCCACCCCTTGTTTGGAAATTTGATGGCCCAAGTAACGTATCTTCCTTCTTCCAAAGTCACACTTTTTCCGGTTGGCCACCCACCCATTTCGTTCCAGCAGCATCACCATACCCAGCTGCTTTAAATGATCCACCCAGTTTGGACTATAGATGAGAATATCGTCGAAAAACACCAGCACCCATTTCCTAAGATACGGTTGTAACAACTGGTTCATGGTACTCTAAAAAGTGGCCGGCGCGTTCGTAAGTCCGAACGGCATCACGAAAAACTCGAAGTGTCCCAGGTGGGTGCGGAAGGCTGTCTTGGCTACGTCCTCTTCCTCCATCCTGATCTGGTGGTACCCAGATTTCAAATCGATCTTTGAGAAGTACTTGGCCCCTCTTAATTCGTCCAGCAGCTCCTCTACATCGGAATAGGGAATTTGTCCAATACAGTGGCCTTGTTCAGGGCTCTGTAATCTACACAAAAACGCCAACTCCCACCCTTCTTCTTCACGAGGATGACCGGGCTGGAAAACGGACTCGTGTTGTGGCGTATGATCCCGGCCTTCAACATATCATCCACCTGTTTTTCGATCTCCCCTTTCAGAATGTGAGGATAGCGGTATGGCCTCACATTTATAGGGTCTACACCCACTTTCAATTTTATTCGGTGTTGTATGTGACGTGTTGGAGGTAGCCCGTGCACAACTTGGAATAAGCGATGGTGGGTTTGCAGCAGCTTTTCTAGTTCAGCCTGCTGCTGGCCTGTCACATCTGTCCCCCACTCACCGTCTTCAGCTGTCTCTAGTGCACTTAGACCCCACACTAATGCTCCTGACTCAGCGTTATCTCCCAGCTTCCACAAAGATCTCGCTTTCACCAGCTGGCGCGATAGGGCTGGATCACCCTTGATCGTGATCGGTTTATTCCCCACCATATATTCCATTGTCATGCTACCCCAATTCGTCTGAACTTCGCCCAATTTAGCCAACCATGCAACCCCCAGAATAACGTCGACGCCCCCCAACTCAAAGACATGGAACTCTTCCTCCACATCCACCTCCTCCAGTCGGATAATCACCCCTTCACATCGTCCTTGGGTAATCCGTCGACACCCGTCGCCCAAACTCACTGGGTATGGTATAGTATCGATCACCGGCAAGCTCAGCTCCTCCGTGGTCCTCTTACTTATATAGTTGTGGCTTGCTCCGCTGTGTATGAGCACCACCACCCTCCATTCACCAATTTTCCCCATCAACTTCAAGGTTCCCGGGTTGGTCCAGCCTTCTGCCGAACATGCGGACAACTCCATCTCTTTCTCCTCCTGGTCGTCGTTTACCTCGCCCTCTTCCCCTTCGTCTTCGTCCTCTGCCGCAATAACACCCGTAAACTTCTCTCGGCGCATCGATGGCCGTGCAAATGGGCTGCCACATCGGAAACAACGCCCCTCCTCCTTTCTCTTAAGAAACTCGGGGTAGGGTAAGTTTCGAACCATTCGACCTCGACCTTTACTCCCAATCGCAGCGCTCCCCCTCGCTATAGTGTTAGCCGCCGCTCCCTCTCTCCTCGCGGTTCCTCCACCCTCTGTTCTTCCAAACGGGTTCGTCGATGGTTTAGTCGATTCCGATCGCGTCACGATACCCATTGATCGCGCACCGAATGGGTTCATCTTTAATCCACTAGCCTGGCTTCCCTGCGCTTTCATCATCGCATCTTCTACGTTGCGCGCAATCCTCAGCGCCTCCATCAACTCCGATGGGTTCTGGATCCGCACCTGACCCTTCACGTCCTCACGTGAACCGGCTAAGAAGTAGCCCATCACCTGTTCCTCTGGAATCCCCGTTGTCTGCCCCATCAAAACTTCGAACTGACGCACGAATTCCTCGACTGTTCCTTCCTGACGCATAGTAGCCAGTCGCTCGAATACGGTTCCCCTGGATCCACCACCGAAGCGATTAATCACGGCTTCTTTCAACCCGTTCCACGTTCGGTTTCTCGCTTTCTCTTTCCAGAAAGTGAACCAGTACGCCGCGCTGCCTCCATGCTTACGTAGGCGACCTCCACCTTTTCTTCATCGTTCGTCACTCTTTGTATATCGAAAAACCTTTCTGCCCGATTGAGCCAACTAAGTGGCTTGTCTCCGTCAAAGGTGGGTAACACCACCCTCTTCCTCCAAGGCCTTTGCGCTCCACTTCTGTTGCCGCTTCCACCGCCTCCGGTCTCCTCATTCCCTCTGTGTCAGTTATCATTCACGGAGCTATCCTCCGAACTGCTCTCCGCGTGATTTCCCTGTTTTGTAAGAATTTTCATAATTTGTTGTAAATCGCAATGTACCGCCGTCGACTCCGCCTTCATTCCCTCCACCGTTATCTCAATCGCTTCTAATCTTGCCTCCGTCGTCGTCTCCATCTCTTCACCCCAGCGTCCAAAAAATTTGGATCTGGCAGGTCGGACCAAATTGATAGGTTTCTGATAAAGAAACCTTATCTTTCACCCAACTAACACACGCAAACAGAGCAAAAGTTCTGAATAACCTCTGATTTTATTGACCTCCAAGAAAGAATACAAGAATGAAGCAATAAGGGAGCCTAATCTTCCCCCAACAAGACTAAACAGTCTGTTTATACACTGGAATCGCCAAAAAGTCCCTCTCCTCTCCCCATCTCAACAATTTATACAAAAATATATTCCCGCTCTTCCTAACTGTTAACACAGTTAGGCAACTAACTCCCTCTAACTGTTAACTAACAGTTGGCTAACCTCTCTTCCTCCTTACATACACTCTCAACATCCTATCAGTTCTGATACCAGTTCACCTTATCTTTTCCTGCTGCTTGATTATGATAAGTAAAATTGTTGATTTCTTTCTTGTTATATGTCCAATTATGGAGCTACAAGCATTTATCACTGTAGAAACTGTTATTTTGATACTGATATAATCTTCAGCGGGGACACTAGCTTGTATTGGTTTATATGCTTGAAGCTTTGGGTTCTTTGTTTAAATATTGATGTTTGGTAGAATGTATCAGTTTTTTAATCATATATGTGAAGTTTCTGTATATGCATCTTCTGTTTTTTCCTTTTCACCTTCATGCTTTATCATTACACTCAAAATATTGGCTGCTGTATTTCAACTTTCTGTTGATTGCAAGATTTCTTTGTTCAACTAAATTTTACTTTGTTTGCTTTAAATTTGTTATTAATTATGGTTATACTATAGAGGGTTGCACTTATTATCCCTCTTCTGCTTGTCTTTTCTGTGACTTGAATTTTCCATAAATTTGATTTACAGGTTTCCCTTGAGGGACAGATTTCTCGTAAGTCAGCTATCCAAAGTTTGAGTGATGGTCATCAACCTTTTGGAGATCAAATACCATGGAAATTCTGTGAGCAATTCCGAGACACAGTTTTCCCCTCACTTTCAGGTGCTCGTATTGTACGCATAGCGACACACCCAAGTGCCATGAGGGTAAATTTTATACTCTGTTCTGCCATATGTTTAATCCAGATTCCTCCAAAGTTGTAACATCTTTCCTTAATTTCAGCTTGGATATGGTTCACAAGCAGTTGAACTTTTAGTTCGGTGAGTGCATGGCTGATTTCTTGTTTAAATTGGAGTAATGTTCATTTTATGCTTTTATTTTTTACTGAAGTTTCTGTGAACATTCAATTTGTCAAAAGTTTTTAATTTAGTATCTTATTTTGTTTGGGTGGAGTCACGGTTCAACGGTTTGATAGAAAATATCTCTGATATTTATGTGTATAGTCAATTATTTCTCTAAACTAGGTTCTAGTATAGGAGTTGCTTTATCTTTTTCTTAGGATTTTAATTTTTGTAATTAATACAGTATTGGTGTAAATATATTCCTGTGTGTTTTGATCTGATTACTCAAAAAGTTTCCATCTCACTCTGTTTACTAGTCTAAGAATGATGCCTTGGACCTGGTGATCTTAAGTTCTAGACTGAGAAACAGCCTTTGTGCTTATGGGTAAAGTCTGTGCACTTCCCTGAGACCCCACCCCCACGAAGGTGGTGGGAGAGCATCATGCACAGGGCTGGCAAGGAAATGTTTTGGCTTGTTTGTGAATGGTTCTATTTTATAGTTTACACGTGTATCATAGACCTGCAGATAGCTTTACCTACGCTCTAGTTAGTTATGACAGCTGTTCAGTCTGTTACAACAGCTGAGTTAGTGGAGCACTTGCTTAGTTAGTGACTGTACAAACCGTCGTGTAATCAGTTTTTATAATAATAGTGATTCAGCATATTCTCTCAATGCATCTTGTATTTTCTCGTTCTAGTTTTAAGATGATATATCAAAATTAAAACTTTGCTTCATGATACATTGTATTTTTGTCTTTAGTCTTTTATGTGTGTCAAGATGTAATTTGCAGAACATCATCAATTAATCATTTTGTCACTGTCTGCAGTTACTATGAAGGACAACTCACTTCTATTTCTGAGATTGATGTTGAAGATGAAGGGAAGACTCCAAGCGTTAGAGTTACAGAAGCTGCAGAGAAAGTATGTTACCACTGAAAATCCCTTATTCAATTGGTTGAATTAGTTGTCTTCATTGAAGTCTCTGAAGATTAAGTATGCCAGTGGTATTGGAACTATCTAGGATTCCTTTTACTGTCTAGCTGATTGGCTCTGGCAGGATCGTGATTCAACTAGAAAAGATGAAAATTTTAGAAAAATGTCATTGGTATTAATTACACTAGTAGAAATACAGGCATTGTAGCACCTGTGTAACCATATTTTTACTATATTACTACCATTTATGATGTCTCTCTTGGAATGTATATTTCGATTGTACATGCTATTGTTTTTTTCCAAAGAAAGGCATAAATTTTCTTGCTTCTTTCAGTTGCTACATTTTGATTTCATAAATAAAGACATTATTTTGACAGTCCCTTACCGTCAAATGTTAGCACTTTATTAACTAGTTTCTTTTAGCTCTTAGATATTATTGATTGAATAATTTGAATACAGTCATAGTGCAGTTTGAGCAAGACTATATTTGATTTGTTATTTTATGTGCCTTTTAACTCCATTTTTATGCTTATCTTTTTCAAATACACTTTAGCTTTTTCATGATACCATTATGGAATATTGATTCAGGTTTCACTACTTGAAGAAAATATAAAACCTAGAACAGATCTACCTCATTTGCTTGTACATCTGCGTGAAAGGCGGCCAGAAAAGCTCCATTACATTGGTGTCTCCTTTGGGCTAACTTTGGACCTTTTTCGCTTTTGGAGGAAACATAAATTTGCTCCTTTCTACATTGGCCAGATTCCAGTTAAGCTTTACTTTTTCTGAATTTGTAAATAATACTGAATTTTATAAGTTATTAACGTGTTTGTTCAATTTCATAGAATACTATTACTGGTGAGCACTCGTGCATGATCCTAAGACCCTTGAACAATGATGAAATTGAAGCTGATGGATCAAATCCGTTGGGTTTCTTTAGTCCATTTTACCAAGGTGGGTTTCTCTTCCTTTGCTGTTATGATGTATGTCTTTGATATTATAATCCATTTTTGTTAATGATTGACAATTTAGTTTGCCACTTGCAGATTTTAGACAAAGATTTACTAAACTTCTTGCTTCGACCTTTCGTGGCATGGAATACAAGCTTGCTTTGAGGTTAGGATCAAGAGTTTAGTGGTTCACTGTTCTAAATTCTTAGATGTATGTTGATATTTTGCTGTTCATTGAATTCTAACGAACTAAGGCTATGTATTATTGATAATTAATTAGATCATATGAGGAATAAGATTTTCGACAACCTTATTTGTTCATTTTGATAAAAGAAGTATTGGTAAATGAAAAGAAAAATATTATCTTAGACAAAAAAAACACTTGAAAGGAAAAGGAACTTGATATGTCAACGTCTTTTGCACACAAGCTCTTACCTTTATAAAGGTTAAGCGGAAAATAGTATTAAGGGAAATTAAAACGAAAAGGTAATAGGAAAAAATTATCAAAGATACAATGAATTTATTTTTTTTTCACGACATTCCCTTTCAAATTGTTAAATGAATATCAATTGTTTCCAAAGTTGTTATTAAGTTTTTGGAATCTTTTTATTGGGAGTCCATTGATGAATACATCTACGTCACTTGGATTCTTTGAGAGAATTTTAAAACTCTCGGCCATTAGACTTTCTTGAACACTGTAGGATATGCCTCCCTGATTTATCTATTTAATTTTCTAAATACTTATTATAACGATAATTTATCCAGCATAATAGATCCAAAAATCAATTTCAAGGACCAAGACCCTAAGGAAATCGCATCTGAAAAATATCTGCAGTCAATCGGAGAACATTTATCACCACATGATATGAAGCGTTTGGAGGCTTATGTTGACAACCTTGCTGACTTTCATCTGGTAAGAGCTCGAGTGTTGGATAATGATACTCTGATCAGTTTTCTGAATGGTTTCTTGATGATGACATGTCTAATGCTTTTCTGGTTATTGAAAACTGTTGTTCTTCAACTCCTTATGGTTCATTTGGTAAAATCCTAAACGGTTATTCATTGCTTTTTTTCATTTTTCAAAGCAAAAGTCCATCTTTCTCCTACCCACCTCCACCAAAAAAAGCCCTAGTTTTTTTTGCCTGCATAAAGGTTCAATGTGTACTTAAAATGCTAAGTACAAATAAATATATTTTTACCAATTGTTATTGTGGTTTAATGGTTGTTGAGTGAAGTGAGTATGATTTTTTTATTGGAGAAACTGGATTAATGTGAGCTTGCATGATATGTAAGATCATCAATATGTGAGAATTGTGATGACCAAATTAAATGATATTCAAAATGGTTCAGTGTGGTGACTGATGTAAACCCAAATGCTGAAGTTGTGATATAACTATTCCAAACCTAGATCATTGAAATAACATAATTTGAATATCTGTTTAATAAATTTGGATCGTTTTTAAGTTTGATCTCGACCCCTTTTCTCTTTGACAGATCCTAGATTTGGTGCCAACCCTTACACGTCTGTACTTCCAACAAAAGTTCCCAGTTACATTGTCCTATGCTCAAGCTTCTGTGTTACTCTGCATTGGTCTGCAGAATCAGAACATTTCATACATTGAGGTCTGTTTATCGACTTAATAAGTTGTTCAGTTGAAAATATTACGCACTCGGATGACTGGTTATCACTTGATGTCTTGTACGTCAAAGCAATAAAGGACAATCTAAAAGTTGAATCCTAATTAGTTAATTTATATGCAGTGTTGGTGTAATTTTTTTTATAGGCATCAAGTATGATATCTTTTGCTGCCACGTTGTATTAATGAATAGGATGAATTATTGTTGAATGTCTATGCAAAAAGGTTTAACAATGTTCGTATAAATTAAATTCAAATTCTACTGTGAAATTTACCCAACAAAAACCTTATCTCACCGGGTAAGGTCGGTGACATGGATCATGTGTTGAATTTTTCTGAAGTATGCTAAGTCATCTTTTGAAATTGAGCGTACGTTGTCAGTTTATCATGATACAAAATCAACGAGTCAATCTAAAATTTATTGTTCGATTTTGTTTTGAGGTTTGAGTTTTCCTGTTTCGGGGTCTACCCTCACTGGGGCGCTTCTCAATAAGATGGAATCACATTCTCAAATATATATCTCTTTTGTTTAACAGGGACAAACAAATTTGGAAAGGCAAACAATATTGTCTCTATTTATAAAGGTTATGAAGAAGTTCTACAAATATCTAGATGGCCGTGCATCCAAGGAGATTGAATCAACCTTGCCAAGACTGAAAGAAGTAAGTTTCTTGATGACAATTTAAATGTTGTATTCCATGACATGGTGCTTTCACTAAAATCCACACAAGATTTTGGTTAGTGACTTTATAATTCTGCTGCTGTGTTTAGGACAACAAATTCTAGTTTGTGCCTCCTTTTTAACATTCACTAATCTTGCACCACTTCTTTTTTGGTTTATGTTCTGTTTTGTCCATAGATTGTCATGGAACCTCACAGTGTCTCTCTGGACGAAGATCTCAACAATGCAGCTAAACAAGTCGAGGTATGTGTTCATCTTTTTTGTTTTCTTTTGTTGTAGATCACTATTCCAAATCCAATCTTTGCTTTTTCACCTCCAGTTTTTGTGGCTCAAATCATGTTACATGTTTGTCATTGGACAGGATGACATGAAATCAAAAGCAGAATCACTCTTTACTCCTGAATTGTTCCAGCAGTATGCCATTGACGATGGAGACTCTGGCTTTCAGACTGTTTTACAAAATAATGATGGAAAAATACCCACCGGTGGTCTTATTAGCGTAAAATCCAGTAGGAGCGCAGTGAGGCCTGAAAAGGTGAAGGAAAGTGGCAAGAGTGACAAAAAGCGCAGTAAAGATAATCACAACCATAAATCAAGCAAAAAGAGAAGATCTTGAGTTAAATATGATAATAAAAACCATCCAAGAAAAAACTGACGATTTCAGGGAATTGTCCGTCCTTGAGTCAGAACGGCATACAAGGTCAAAGTGAACGTCCAAATCATGGGGATGAGAATCCACTGACAAGAAGCTCAGTTCATGTAATGGACTCCCCTGTGCATGGTTTGCTGTGGAGATCTTCATAAATTTCAAGTGCAGGATTATTTATAGTGGAACTAATCTTCAGTTTGTTTTTATTTTATGTTTTCATGGGAATTAGTGGGTATCACTACTGCATTACTATAAATTCGACGGCTGCAGAGAAATGTATTCATGATATAGTTTTAGTGGCCTTAGTTTTTGACGGCTTAAGAGGATTAGTCACAATCTCCAGTTTTGTCTTATTTTGTTTGGTTAACTACGTCCTGTGTGCACCATGCAACTTTCCAAGAAAATTTTATCTTACAGGTGACTGATTTCACGGTCCTGTGTTCAAAATGACGCATTTTAGATAATTATGTAGTGTTAAGACGAATGACATTTCAGATAGGTTTGAATTAACCCACTAACCTCTGGCCTTTTATTCTTTTGCTTTTTAACGTTTTTCCAGATATTATTTTCAAATATACATATTCTGTAACTCAACATGATAGAACCTTAAGAAATTTATACATTGATATAGACAAGCGACAGAACCAATCGACTTCCTTTGAATATAGGATCTGGAGATATGCAAAACATAACTGGATTGAGAAGATTAGCATTCCTATTGATTTGGCACAACAATCAAACAGACAATTGCTTTGGATCTTCAATTTGGACTACAGTGTGTAAACTAGAACCCTCTGGAATTCCCAGGGGAGGATCTATGCATGAACAATTATCAACATTATATAGCTCCCACTCTTTAATTTCACACTTGTCTAGTGCAGCAACAATATTTGTCCTCTCTCTGTTGTCAGTTGGAAATGCTCCATCTGGACTAACAAGTACTGCTCCAGTATAAGACTGCCCTGCAACTCTAGCAGCCCCATGATAATGGAACAATCCCCAACTAAGATTTTCAGCTACATCCACAATTGTCCAAAACTCATTTGAAGCAACTCCGTTGTCTAATACACTGAAATAGAATGTGCCAGGTACCTTGCCCCTTCTCACCCTATATTTTCTCCTCCTCCAGACCATTTGACCTTCCAATGTTTTTACCTGGAATACTGGTTCACACCAGAACGACCCTTTTTCCTTTCCCCTATAGAATAGTTGATATTGGCATGGAAATTGATCATATGCTGGATTCTGCCCTGCTACCACACGCCAGCTCCATTGCAAACTCCCCAACCATCCCACAAACAGATCTTCTGCCATTTCATAACTTAAGTTCTGCCCCCGAAACTTCACCATTGGAGGCACACATGGTTTTTCAGGGATTTCTGCTTCCAACCCAAGACAGTTATTTTTCTGTAATACACATTGCGAAAAGGATTCTAGATTTGCACTTTCATTTGAAGCAATACACCGGTAGTTACATACTTGATCAACAGGGCTACACTGATTCATGCATTGAAGAGCTTTTCTACAATTGGGATCCAACAAGCAATTAAGTACCTGGCGACCACAGTTCCTCAACATACAGTTTAGGGTAGAAAAACCTTTAGCTCTCAAATTATTCAATACTGGAACGGGTCTTATATATGCATTGATTATTACCAGCAAACAGAACCTTATATCATCAGAATTATGTCGATCCCATGCTTCAGAAACCGTCTGCACTACTTCATAAGATTCTTTAGCTTTATCAGATTGAGAAGTTCCAAAAATATTACCTCTCACTCCACTGGGAACATCATAGCCTCCTAATCTGTTCTTCAAATCCGATGAAGAGTCAAGGCATATTACATTTTCAATAGTTTTGCTGTTGTTATTAATCCACTCAACAGATTCCTGTTTTGTAACAGCAATAATCACCAATATATCCGCATCCCGTAATTCTTTCTGAAGTCTCGTGGACATTTCTCCGCCAGATACAATACATTCATCAGTAAATACAAGAAGCTCATACCCTTCATCAACCCATTTCAGTCTCTTTGCCTGATAAAAGGGAATATTAATGGTACTGGACCCAACCAAAAAAATAACCACACTATATTCATAGCAGAATATTGTGACAAAGAAACGTACCACACGTATAATTAGAAACATCACTCCAAAATATAAAAGAATAACATAACATAAGAATAACATCACAAAAACTACACATAATTCCTACCCTTTCCCCTCCTCTACAAATATTGAACCCTTAGATATTATTTTAATTTTTTTATTTCTACAAGTTTAAACAATAAGAACAAAAAGGGATTAAATATGATAAATATGTTATATATCCTTCTTTTAGTGTACACAATTTTTTTCAATATTACTTTTAAGTATAATTATTTTCCTTATATACAAGTTATATAACTATTAACTCTTGCAAGCTCTCCTTTTATTTGTCGATATATCTTAATGCATGCGTTTTCACTCGTATACGTACACGAATTAAAATATGCAGTACAACTAAAAGTTTCGCATACAAGATTAAAAAGTAATATTTGCATAACTATAAAAACTAAAAAGGAAATTAAAAACAAAAGAGAAAAAGTAACCTAACATTTTTCAATATAGGATGTTGTATTGCAGGTACAATAAATAATGAATAAAGTCTTATTCTTTCTGTGAAAAAAAAAATATTTTAAAGTCTTGAAAATTCAGAACCTCAGAGGATACAGAATTACTAACAATAAATTCCTGTTTTAGTTTAGAATCTCTAGGATCTTCCGTTTTTTTAAGTTTTAATTGGGTTTTTATTTTTATAAAATTGAATTAAATAGATCTTTTCGTTAAGTATTGTGTCACGGGCATTTGGACAGTGTTGTTTTAACAGAAGTATCATTAGAAACAAACGTGGATGAATTATATTATTTTAAATTAAAAAATTAATTTAAAAACTTCAATCAGGGCAAAGTTGGCAATAGATTTGGGGGAAACGTGCAGAAATGAACGCAGAATCTAAGCTTAGTTAAAAATAGATTTGGGGGAAACGTGGTTACGGTAGTGGTGCCTCCTATCTGATAATTCTTTTGAGGAGAGAAAATTGTTCGAAAGAGAAGACACAAAAACCTTGAGAATATAGCATGGTCTGTGCCACGGGTGAGTTAACCAGGACTTGCAGTAGCTGGGAGCGATTCAGTTTCTCCAGATCCACGAATACTGCTGAGTTTTGGCGGAAGGAAGGCGAGGAAGAAGATGAATGGGAGGGCATCGACTGTAGTAAGCGGAACTGCGCCTGAAGAAACCTCACGTACCTGTACGCTTCCTCCAGGAGCGTGCCTTGGTCCATTTTCTTGTCCCACGACATCAGTTTCTGCAGGCACCGGGTTTTCTCGCTCATCTTCTGTCTGCGTTGTCGAGCCAGGTTGCTCTGCGGGATCACCGGGGACTCCAAACGCTGCCGTTTCTGCTGGGGCTGCTCCGGGGAGCGGAGCTGCGGGAGGCGGAGAAAGGGGGGTGGGATGGTATTGGGGGAAGAATTTGAAAGGTTGAGAGGGTTCGGTTTTAGGGACAAGGATTTTTGGAGGCTCTGCGGTTTGCGGAATTAGGGTTGGGTCGTCGGTCCGCGAAAAAGGGAAGGGTTGAGAGAGGAGTGGCTGTAGAATGTGCCGGATAACATGGGGTCCAAGGAGGAGCCGGCGGAATACATTATCATAACTTCCAGAGAGAACGGGGTTCTGTGATTGAATTGCCAACTTTGCTCTAATTGAATTTTCCCTATTTTAATTTAATTTTTTAATTCAAAATTTAAAATAACAGAATTTATCCACGTTTTTTAATGACACGCGTGTTAAAAATAACAGTGTTAAAAAAAAAGGGTTCTGAGATTCTGGACAGCGACTGGACAGCGACATGTTGAAACATTAAACCAATTATTAATAAAAAAACACTTCTGAACAACTAAAGCTCAATGAAAGAGGAGAGAGAAGGTACGTAACAGTGTGAAGCATGACTTCTTCCCAGGATGCGGGCTTAAGAGGACTGGCAGCTCCGTGACCAGCGACAGCTACCATCCTCACCGGCGGCGCGGATGACTTCTCCGCCGTGACGGCGGAGAATACGGTTGTGCGTGGGCGAAAGCGAGGGTGAGTGTGAGTACGTGGCAGTGATGGGAAAGAAAGAAAGGAATGGGTATGAAGGTGAAAAGGAAAAGTGAAAGCATTAACAGATAATGCATTCTGAAGAAACTTAAAACTGAATTTTTCAACATATTTTAGTTGCAAATTCAGAGACATTTGGGATTTTCTCTCTGTCTTGCAAATAACACACTGAAAATCATCATTTGATATTCTTCTTTATAAATATTTTCTTTTTTCTTTTAAATTATGAACTTACAATAAAGCCCTCGAGCCCATAGTCCTCACTCATTCATTCTCCTCTCACATTGGCCTCAATGAATTACAGAACTACAGTGAACTGTAGTAAAAAGTAAATGGATAAATAGGAAAATGTATAAAACAATTTTAATCACTGAAGTTAATACTGAAAATTATAAGTAATTTATTTGTGAGTGAAAACTCCATGAGACAAAAAATTAGGGTCTTAACCAAAAATTTCTGATTAAATGTCTTAAAACATGACATTTTGACTGATCTCCATAATGTTATTGTACAACACCTACCATGATACTAATTAACACGATCTTTATCAAATTCGTATTTAGAATGTTTTAAAAAATCAAATTAAAATCTGTGTTTACCATTTTTGAAATGAAACAATACAAAAGTATACAAGTTTAACCGTGATTTTATGTTATATTCTAAGTGTGACGTATTGTAAATTGTAACCAATTTTAGATTTAGGCTTAAATATTAATTTTGTTTGTGTTTTTATTGAGTTTATGTAATGTGATTTTTTTAAATAAAAAATTGGGGATAAATACTAATTTAGGGTTTGAAGGGTATGAAATGAATTGTGAATGGTTGTTATTGTGGCTTGAGAAAAGAGATTATGCAAATTCCTTTTCCTAATGTGTGCATTGCTCATAAAGGTATGTCTCATTGTTAATTTTCTTTTTCTTGTTCTAATAGTTGGGGACAACAAAGTTATAGTTCCTTTTATGGTTGTGGTTCAAGGAGAATGAACTTAACCCTCGTTTACAATTGTGAATAGTTTGTAATTCTGAGAATGAAAAAAACTTCAAAGAATATTAGTAAATAATTTTGGAGTTTGTCTTATTTACAAGGTTAGAGTCATTATAATATTTTTTAATAAAATTATTTGTTGGTAATTAATATTGAGTTTGTTATTTTTGTGTTGGATAAGGGAGTGGTTCCACTAATGTG